CTCCATTCTTTTAGTATTCTATTCAGACATCTGCTTCCCAAGAATTGCTACACTGCGGAACAGACTCCCAAGTGGATGCTTCACTGATCACTACAATCTTAACTATTATATATCCTATATATCATCATGATCTATACGTCTTACTTCATCTTCTTACAATCATACAACACATTCTGTAACCTTCTCTTGAGGCGTCCTGGGTATGACGATAAACTACATCCGCGTCCTGGGTATGACGATAAACTACGTCCAACAACAAGGCTTCAGATAATGTTTTCGGAAAAATAATGTTGCCAGCTATACGTTTTTGAAACAATAATGTTGCCAGCTATATGTTTAATAGTACTGTATATTTAATATATGTATAGGTATATGTGTATGTATATATGTATATATATATATATATATATATATATATATATATGTGTGTGTGTATATATATATATATATATATATACCTTAATTTGGCATTAAATGACCCACAGTGGTTGATATGTCATAAACCCAACCAACCAACCTTCTCTTGAGTCATTGGTTTGGAGAACAAGTATTAAAAACAAAACTGATTATAAAGATAACATTTTTTTTTTTTAAAAAAAACTCATTAATAATGTATAATTTCTTAGAATATTTAAGCATCTAATTTGCATTTAATGCAGGAGATGTTTTCCTCTATTTTAGCAAACTCAATATTTTTCTTTGATCTTCAATTTATTTTGAATTTGTCCTTGAATAATTACAATAATCAGTTATTGTTCACTTCTTTCCGAAATTTTTTTCACTCTAAAAATAATAATTTTATATTATCCTCTCTCCTTTTTTTTCTCTCTCCTATCCAAATATTATGTTTGATTGCCACGTCAAGTATTGTTTTCAATTGCATGCAAAATGCACTGAGATTTGCACTTAATCTATTGTGAATCGACATTGTTCAATCAAAGAGTCGAGAATGAATTTACATTGTATCACATTTTAATGAACAAGTTTTATTCATTTTCTTAGTAGGCTGAGTTCAATAAATAAAATAAAATAAAATAAAATAAAAAAACATTTCTTAAAACCCCCAAAAATTATCATCTACTTATTGTCTCCTTAACAGATCGTTAACATTAACACTGGCTTTCTTAAGTATAGGTTGATCAGCTATCGTCCTGGGTATGATGATAAACTACATCCAGCAACAAGGCCTTTAATCAGAAGGTTTTGAGAATCTCGGAACCACCTCTTAATTACTGTTGCTTCCAGGTCCACTCTGACCCGGGGTGGTAGTACCTGTAAGGGTCCCAGCTATGGGCAAATAGTTAACCACCAAACAAAAACACTATGAAAATATAAAAAATATATTTCAATAGTAAAAATACCAGCAATACATTTTTATATAAAAATTTACTAACTGCTTACAATAGAATTACCAACAATATAGTAAAATTATAGAATTTATAGAAAATAGTGAAACGCCAAACTTAGGTCAAAAAAAGTAATGGAAGTATAAAAATACATTTTTATAGTAAAAATTTCCAGCAATAGGTTTTAATATTAAAAAAATTTCAAGTAATAGATTTTAATAGAAAAACAAATAGCAAAGCTCCCAACAAAAGTAAATTTCGGCAATCCATTCTCCATAAAGATTAGATATGGCATTAAACAAACCAAACCAAAACAAATCAATCAGCTAACTTTGATTCTGAAATCAGATAGTTGGATATGCAAAACAAAAGATCAAAGACCCTGTAGCAATATGAAGGACAATCCTACACACACTCACCATACTACCTGATCTCAACATAAACCCAGGAAAAGAGAGCTACGAGGTCAGTTCTTTCTACCCTTTCACCAGAAAGTGGGACAGGTTGGTGCACTCTTCTAAACATCAAACAATTGACTGTTTTCTACAAAGAAGAGGGGTAATACTTTCTCTCGCTCTGTGCCAACATATTGCAAACTATGAACTCTGTCATACATGGAATATACGATTTATATTCATAAAAATAGAAAATAAACCTTCCAAAACATTCATTCATTTTGAATGTAAAAGGAAACGTTTTGTGTCAATCTCAACATGCTATTTGGATTTTCTGGAATTTTTGTAATCTGGTGGTAACGGCTGGAATTTTTGTCAGTTGACTCTTCCATAATTGGCACTTCTGGTGCTTTGTAAGTTGTAATTCATTGCTTCTAAAATCTTTCTAATTTGTTGGCAATTATTGATTATTTTTAACTTCTGGAATATTTGTCATTTTATCTTTAATTTCTTGAATTTTGGGTATTTGGTTTTGACATTAATTTTTTTTTAATTGATGAATTTTAATTAAATTCATTTAATGCCGTTGCTTGGAAATCGTCCATGCAAACAAAACCGACTGTCATTGTTGTTATGTCCGTGTATTGTTCAATATATTGTAATGTAATTGTCATCTTTGATAATGAGTCATTCGACCCAGTACTTTCTGAGCGACTGTTCGGTTGAACTCTCTTCCTACGGACGGGAGGAACCCGAAGGAGGCTACGCCGAAGGGCGGAGTCTCCTTCGGGGAGGTCCATATTACCCTGAACCCGTTTATACGGGTTCAATGGGCATATTTTTTAGCCGAGCCCACGGGCTCGGAAATGCCCACGTTAAAAAGGCCTTGTGCCACACGACACCCTTGTGGGTGGGGGTGACTGAATATCGTCATCTTTGATAATGGCTTTCGTAAGCCAGAAGCTGAGATAGGATTAAAAAATATGTATCAATATTGTGATTTCTTTCTTCGTTTATTGATAATGTTATTAAGCTTATCAGGCGATATGAAAAGAATTTACATAAAATAAATAAACAACACTTGTCTATATTATTTAATGAAACATTCATTAATATATATATATATATATATATATATATATATATATATATATATATATATATATATATATATGGAAAAACCAGTTTTTTCATGCTCCTGTGATTTTTACCAATCAGTTATCACCAGGCATTAAATTTGGATATTCCATTGCAAGTCACTTGTATATATATATATATATATATATATATATATATATATATATATATATATATATATATTATATCACTGGTAAAGCAGGAGAAAGAAATTAGTATTGAAAAGTGTATTGATCATTTAGCCATTTTTTGACAAACGATTATATATATATATATATATATATATGCCTGTATGTATGTATATATATATCATGAAACATAGTTTTATGGTATGCTATATTTGTGGTATAAAGTGCTCAATATCAGAGGTAGAGCGTATGTAAATTAAATCTCAAAGTGGACACTGAAGTCAACACTCAGAAGCAAAAGACGGTTTCATCGTCAAGCCACATGTGTAGTTTCTTTTTTCTTGACTATTTATATATTCCATTTGTTGATCCAGTCTGAATTTTTTATCATAAGAGGAGTCAGTGATTTTCTGAGACATCACATCGATGTATTTAACTTGAGACCTAATCGACCAGGACGGAATTTGAACTTCAATCTTACAAATTTCACTTTACGGGATTATAATCGTTACAATAACTTCAAACCCTAGGATTAATTTTTATCATTTTCTGTTAAAAATAAATACCGTAATTTCCCATGTATAATACGCATTTTTTTTTTCTAAAAAATAATAAGCAAAATCAGCGGTGAGTATTATGCACAGGTACAAAAAATCTTGTCGTCAGATAAAATAAGAATTATCATAAAACTAAATTAGAAAAATATTATTCTATGTTTAAAACCATTTTTTAAAATTAAGAGTAGGGAACGCTGGCCGTAATGAAATCGAGAGATACAATTTATAGGGTTTGAATACGAAACAACGGTGCGTATTATGCATTTTCCCACACTTTCAGCACAATTTTAGGGGTGCGTATTATGGATGAAGGCGTATTACACATGGGAAATTACGGTAAATACGGATGGCAATGATAAAACAAATTTGTGCATAAACAATGATTAATTAAAGACATTATTTCCTTGTCTTTTTCAGGCACTGCTTAGATTTTTGTCTTAAAGCCAAGAAGTATGGATTAGCTTATCAAAAGCGCTACACTTTCATTTCTATAAAATCTGTTTACCATTTATCATTTCACGAAATATATAAAATTCTTCTCTGGAAACAAAAGCTGCAAATCGATTCCATTTTTTTTTTTTTTTTTATCTTTTTAAAGCTTTAGCAAGATTTTAATCTTTTCTGTTCTAAGAAACCTCTGCCTGATGATTATAGCATTGTTTTTAAAGAAGCTCTGAACGGATCAGGTGACCTAGTTGAACATCACAGGAATGGATCTTACCATCTACAGGAATGCATGAAGATAGGCATATGCACTAAAAGAGACGCTTCTCGTTAGGATTTTGTTTTCAATGAGTGGGTTTACTTGCTGGGGAAAGTGAGGAATAAGGAACGAAAACATGACAGAATGAACACACAAGAAAAGCATATAGGTGGAATGAGGAAGACAGTGACAAGAGTGAAGGACAAAAGGAGGAGGTAAAATAAGGAGGAAGAGAAAGAGAGAGAGGAAAAATGAGAGAAGAATAAAAGATCAAGAGGGAGAAAAATGAAGAGACGGAAAAGAAGGAAACAGGGAAAGAAGAATGAACGAGCAAGGAGGAGCAAAAATGAAGAGGAGAAGTGGGGGAAAAGGAGAGACTAATAAGAGATCAAGGGGGAGAAAAAAGAAGAGAGGGAAGAGGGAAAAGAATGAAACGGAGAGAAAGAAGGAGCTAGGAGGAAGAAAAATAAAGAAGAGGGAGAAGAAAACACGGAAAGAGATCAGGGGGAGGAAAAATGAAGAGAGGGAAGAGGGAAAAGGGGGAAATATGGAAAGAAGAATGAAGGAGCATGGAGGAAGAAAAATGGAGGAGGAGGAAAAATGAGAGACAAATAAGAGATCAAGAGGGAGAAAAATGAAGAGACGGAAAAGAAGGAAACAGGGAAAGAAGAATGAACGATCAAGGAGGAACAATGAAGAGGAGGAGGGGGTAAAAAGGAGAGAATAATAAGAGATCAAGGGGAAGAAAAATGAAGAGAATGAAGAGGGAAAAGAATGAAACGGAGGGAAGGAAGGAGCAAGGAGGAAGAAAAATAAAGAAGAGGGAGAAGAAAACACGGAAAGAGATCAAGGGGAAGAAAAAATGAAGAGAGGGAAGAGAAAAAAGGAGGAAATATGGAAGGAAGAATGAAGGAGCAAGGGGGAAGAAAAATGAAGTGAAGGATGAAGAAAAAAAAGAGAGAGGAATAAGAGATCAAGGGGAAGAAAAATGAAAACAGGGCAAAGAGAGAAAGAAGGAAAAGAAGAGAAGAAGGAGGGAGAAAGGTGGAAGAAAATAAAGAAAAAGGAGAGTAAAAAAGGGAGAGAAGAATGAAGGAGAAAGGAAGAAGAAAAATGGAGGAGGAGGAGGAAAACAGAAAAGAATAAAATATCAAGGAGAAGAAAAATGAAGAGGCCGAGAAGAAAAAAAAAAGGGGAGCGAAGAATAAGAGGTCAAGAGAATGAAAAATGTAGAGAGGAGGAAAAGAAAGAAAAGGAGAGACGAAAGAAGGGACTCGCTGGAAGAAGAATAAAGAGGAGGGAGATGAAAACAAGGAGAGAAGCATAAGAGATCAAGGGGATGAAAAATGAAGAGAGGGAAGGGGAAAAGAAGGAAATGGAGAAGAATGAAGGAGCAAGGAGGAAGAAAATGAGGAGAGGTAGGAGGAGGAAAACAACGAGAGAATAAGAGATCGAGAGAATGAAACATGAAGTGGAAAGAGAGGGAAACGCAGAGAAGAATGAAGGAGCAAGGAGGAAGAAAATGAAGAGGAGGAAGAAAACAAGGAGAGAAGAATAAGAGGATGAAACATGAAAAGGGAGGAGTGGGAAAAGATCGAATGTCTGACAGAAGGAGGAAGAGGAGGAATAATGAAGTGAAGAAAAAGAAGGAAACAGGAAGAAAAATGAAAAAGAAATGGAGGAAAACAGAGAGAGGGAAGAATAAGAGATAAAGAAGAAGAAAATGAAAAGTGAGCCACGAATGAAATGTGATAAATGCCAGGATGTTAGCAAAATCCAAAGGACGAAAAATCTATGAATGCAAATTAAAAAAATACGAAAGGACGATAGATATAAGCATTTGGTGTTGCAATTCTGACATTTTGTTATATATCATTTCTTTCTCTTTATATGCTTATCTATATATCTGTATATCTTCCTAAGGTTTTACGTCTCCACATTCAGCTGGGAAGTGTTTTGACGGAGGACGGTAAGTATGCCGCTGAGATCCGAACATGTATTGGGATGGCCAAAGACACATTCCAAAAGCTAGGCAGAGTATTACGAGACAGGGGGATTTCTTTGGTAACAAAGAAAAGAAGACTGAGCTGTTTCGTGACATCTGTCCTCCTTTAAGGCAGTGAACGTCGGACGGTCTCCTCAAAGATGAAGAAGAGACTCGAGACAACGAAGGTATGGTTCTACAGAACGAAGCTAAGGATATCATGGACCAAACATGTGAACAACGATGACGTTTTGGAGAGGATGCAAACAGAGTTGGAACTTTTGCTCAACATCAGAAAGAGGTAGCTGAAGTTTCTGGGACACGTAATGAGAAAAGGTTGGCTTAGAGAATCTGATACTCACAGATCGAATAGAGGGAAAGAGAGACAAGGGAAAGCAATATATGACATACCTAATGGGCTTCAGCGGGTCGATGAAAGAAGATAGCCTGAAAGAAATATCATGGGGGCAAATCTTATTGAGAGCTACAAGGGATAGGAAGACGTGGAGAGCCATGATCGCCTACGTTCTGAGAGAAGAAAAAATGAAGAGTCCTTATTTCTTTATTATTTTTTTCTTATTCTCTTGTTTACAAATATTTTAATAAATTCATGAATATAAAAATGTTGTGGTAGGATCCACCTAATTTGCATAGTGGAGTACCGACCATATAAATATGGTTGGTACGGGAAGAGAGGGAGGAATCAAGAGATTCACTCTCAGTCGAACTTCTGCATTTTGCAGTGAGGGACCCGGACGAGGCTTTGCCGAGAGGCAGGGTTTCGTCCGTTGGTAGTAACAGGCCTTGAACCCGTTAGGCTGGTGTCAGATTTTTTTTTTGGCCGAACGGATAGGGGAGATACCACTTAAACCGGAGAAATACATTTTATCCTTGGGTGGATAGATAAAACAGGAATCAAATTTTCACTCTCAGTTGAACTCTCTGCATTTTTTAGTGGGGACCCAGACGAGGCTTTTAAAGAGAAGTTTCGTTTGGGGTGGTAGACAGGCCTTGAACCCGTCTAGGCGGGTCGGAAATACATATATTTAAGCCGGCCTTGTGGTATCGGATCCATATAATAAACCGGCCTTGTACACATTTTATAAATATGGGTGGATAGATAAATACAGGAATCAAGAGATTCAATCCAGAGACTCTGCCCGACTGCGACTAAGTCAACACATTCTCCAGGAACGGTCTTCCCAGGAATATACAAAAGACTATATGTAAATATTGTGTACACTTTCTTGTTTCAATACATTTTGTTCTAAGTACATTTTGTGTTGTATTATTATTCCATGCATTAGTCAAGTTTCAACAAAAAAATATGTCTTTCTTTATAATATGGTAAATAATAAATCTTGACTATTAACCACGTGGTCAACTCCTATAGAGGCCCAGTCAATATATACAGTTCGGCCTCTTTAAACGGGTCTCAACCCATTTTAGTGAATGTATGGGACGAGAGCAAATGAAAAAAAGGACCCGGAAAATGCAGTTTTTTAACATTTATAATGACAGTGAGTCGCTTATACCGCAGCGAATTTTGGACGATTTCCTCAAAGATGAAGAAGAGACTCGAAACAACGGTGATATGGTTCTACAGAAGGATGCTAAGGATACCATGGACTGAGCGCGTGAGCAACGATGAGAGAGGATGCAAACGAGGAGGAAGCTTATACTTAACATCAGGAAGAGGCAGCCGAAATTTCTGGGACACATCATGAGAAAAGAGGGTCTGGAGAATCTTGTACTCACATGTCGAATAGAAGGAATTTCAGACAAGGGAAAGGAACGCGTGGCATACCTGGCGCGTTTAAGCAAGTAGATAACAGAATGTGTTCTGTTGGAGGTGGCAGAGGAAATTGACCAACTTGAAAATCTGACTCCTGTTTGGAAATATGTTGAAATTCAACTTCCTTCTGTATCTTGCTTGAACAATCTTGAAAGACTTAATTTCGTAATACGTCTACACACAAAAGATCTTCTACTCCATCGTCCAAGTCATGATGCCGCGATGTTTGATTGAATAGATCAAAATATTAACTATTTCCCATCAATAATCTGAAAAGAGAAAGAGAATAAAGTCAACAGGGAGAATCTGAGAAGACGCTGCTTTCTTTCAACAATTGTACGTTTTTACCGAAAGTGTAATTTTCAGACACGGACGAATATACACGTCCAACACATAACGTTCAAAAACCAGCTACAGACGTGTTTATACGTCAGTCTTGATTCTTTTTATGCCCTCTTGAGCTTGAAATGAGACTAATTGTCAACTTATACATCTAGTAGAGGTCGAAGCCACCTCCCGGGTACTTCAGGGTACCTCAGTTTCTTAGTTACTATATTAAAAACAAATAAAAAGAACGATCTGAAAATGAAACATTTTTCCCAAAATAATTGTCGAGAAAAAGGTTAATGCCGAAATCTAAATATTTTGTATGCATTTTCATTTTATTTTTTGAGAAAAGTATGATTTAGAAAATAGACAATAGAAATCTTTTTAATTGTCCTTTTTGTTTCCATTTTCTCTAATGCTTTTTCGTTGCTCATATGTTCAGTTCATAATATTCTGGACATCCTTCTGTAGAACCACATTTCTGTTGCTTCAAGTCTCTTCCTCATATGTGAGGAGATTGTCCAGCATTCACAGCCATATAGGAGGACTGATATTACATAAAGGTTCAGTACTCTTTTCTTTGTTTCTGTTGCTTCAAGTCTCTTCTTCATCTGTGAGGAGATTGTCCAGCATTCACTGCCATATAGGAGAACTGATATTACATAACATTTCAGTACTCTTTTTCTTTGTTTCTGTTTCTTTCAAGTCTCTTCTTCATCTGTGAGGAGATTTGTCCAGCATTCACTGCCATATAGGAGAACTGATATTACATAACATTTCAGTAGTCTTTTCTTTGTTTCTGTTGCTTCAAGTCTCTTCTTCATTTGTGAGGAGATTGTCCAACATTCACTGCCATATAGGAGAACTGATATTATTTTAACATTTTCAGTACTTTTCTTTGTTTCTGTTAATCTTTCAAGTCTCTTCTTCATTTGTGAGGGAGATCTTTGTCCAGCATTCACTCTTCATATAGGAGGACTCTTTGAACATAACAGTTCAGTAGTTTTTCTTTGTTTCTCTTTGAACTTCAAGTCTCTTCTTCATCTGTGAGGATTTGTCTTTGAACTGTCATATCTCTTCATTTGATGAGGATTAAAGGTTGAACTGTCTTGTCTTTGTTTTGTTGCTTCAAGTTCTTCTTCATCTGTGAGGAGATTGTCCAGCATTCACTGCCATTAGGAGGACTGATATTACATAACAGTTCAGGACTCTTTTTTTTGTTTCTGTTTTTTCAAGTCTCTTCTTCATTTGTGAGGAGATTGTCCAGCATTCACTGCCATTCAGGAGGACTGATATTTTGAACTTTCATGTCTCTTTTCTTTGTTTCTGTTTGAACTCTCTTCTTCATCTGAGGAGATTGTCCAGCATTACTGCCATATAGGAACTGATATGTCTCTTAATTTTCAGTACTTTGAACTTTTCTTTGTTTCTGTTGAACTTCAAGTCTCTTCTTCATTTGTGAGGAGGAGATTGAACAGCATTCACTCTTCATTTGGAGGACTGATATTTGAACTTTCAGTGTCTCTTCATTTTGTGAGGATTTTCTGTTGAACTTCAAGTCTCTTCTTCATCTGTGAGGGAGATTGTCCAGCATTCACTTCATATAGGAGGAACTGATATTACATAACAGTTCAGTAGTCTTTTCATTTTGTTTCTGTTGAACTGTCAAGTCTCTTCTTTTGTGAGGAGATTTTGAACATTCACTGCTCATATAGGAGGATTGATATTACATAACAGTTCAGGACTCTTTTTCTTTGTTTCTTTGAACTTCAAGTCTCTTCTTCATTTGTGAGGAGATTGTCCAGCATTCACTGCCATATAGGAGGACTGATATTTGAACATAACAGTTCAGTAGTCTTTTCTTTGTTTCTGTTGCTTCAAGTCTCTTCTTCATCTGTCTCTTCATTGTCCAGCATTCACTGCCATATAGGAGGACTGATATTACTAACAGTTCAGTACTCTTTTCTTTGTTTCTGTTGCTTCAAGTCTCTTCTTCATCTGTGAGGAGATTGTCCAGCATTCACTGTCCATATAGGAGGATTGATCTTTACATAACAGTTCAGTCTCTTTTTCTTTGTTTCTGTTGAACTTCAAGTCTCTTCTTCATTTGTGAGGAGATTGTCCAGAATTCACTGTCATATAGGAGGACTGATATTACATAACAGTTCAGTCTCTTTTTTTGTTTCTGTTGAACTTCAAGTTTCTTCTTCATCTGTGAGGAGATTGTCCAGCATTCACTGCCATATAGGAGGACTGATATTACATTACTCTTTCAGTAGTCTTTTCATTTTGTTTCTGTTGCTTCAAGTCTCTTCTTCATCTGTGAGGAGATTGTCCAGCATTCACTGCCATATAGGAGGACTGATATTACATAACAGTTCAGGACTCTTTTCTTTGTTTCTGTTGAACTTCAAGTCTCTTCTTCATTTGTGAGGAGATTGTCCAGAATTCACTGCTCTTATAGGAGGATTGATCTTTGAACATTTCAGTACTCTTTTCTTTGTTTCTGTTGCTTTTCAAGTCTCTTCTTCATCTGTGAGGAGATTGTCCAGCATTCACTTCATATAGGAGGACTGATATTTGAACATTTCAGTCTCTTTCATTTGTTTCTGTTGCTTCAAGTCTCTTCTTCATCTGTGAGGAGATTGTCCAGCATTCACTTCCATATAGGAGGACTGATATTCTT